CCTCACTCACTCACATTGTTACATGTATTTCAATGTTTTATAAAGATAGTACAGCAACAAGAAAATTTATTAACAAATTAATGTCCCGTCGTAAGCACTCACTGCAACCCATACTGTTTAATGCATGCGTGTCTATTTTAGCGTGTGTGTTTTTTGTGTAAGCTGAAGCCCGTGGTGAATTATTGAAATATCAGTTCCCCGAAGGTTTCAAGGGATTTCGTAGTCGAGCAGTCTTGACAAGAGCTTTCATACTTGTTTTAAACTTGTTTTTGAGCCAGTTAGTTTTTGAGAATTGTTTTGAAGTATGCTAAGAAGGGCAGACAGTAGACAATGGCAATGAAGAATAGATATTTTAGTCGTCTCAAATACGTCCTTCAGCTGTTACATACTCAGCACTCAATAATTTTATTTTTTTTGTTATACCCTTTTTAATCAATACTTTGACTTGGTACGAATAGCAAGGATGTGGGCTTAATAAGGTGAACTAAATTGCTGACATACACAAGCAGATCAAGAACAAGTGTTTTCGATAAACGAATCAAAGAACAAGAAAAAACTATATTGAATTATAAAGGGTGAGACAGGTTGAATTAAATTTTGATTGATAAATTTATTTTTTATACCCTGAACCCATTGAAAATGGGAAATTGTATTTTTGATCAATCCGATAGGGCTGCCAATCCATCGATGGAGACTATTGATAGTATCACTAACCAGAGAACACATAGACCGGACACGTAGTGTAAAGCGTTTTGCACACTTTTTTTTCGGGCGTTAACACCCCAGACAACTTCGTATTCGCTCGGCTCCTCACTTTTAGGTTTGGGTTACTAAAATATACGAAAGCACAATCATTTCGCTTCATGCGCTCGACCGAGATGGTCAAATGTTGAACAAAAGATCCCTCTATGCTCAATGTTTCCCTTGCTCTCTCTTTCTCTCGATGCTCTCTGCTCTCTTAAATGTGTATATGTATGTATACATGTGAGCACAAGCAGCAGCTCACGAAAATTGAAATTTCTTCGCAGCAAGAACCCATGTCCCTTCTGAGTGAAAGGTATTCCGAACTCTTCAAGCCGTTTGCCATGCGTTTTCGTTATTATTTGTGGGGTGCGCATAATGAAAATGTTTTCGCGACGAACATGCACACACACACTTACAGTATGCTACATGTACTATGAGCATTTGTATGCCTGTGTGCAAAGCCCTTGCTGGCTGTAGCAATTTGAAATCCCAGCATTTGCATTTAGTCGATCTTGTCAAGTGCTCACACTTGCATACATATGTTTGATTGTGTGTACGCAGGGGCCGCGATGTTCACAAATGATGGGGTAATCATTGTATAAGCATTTGAGTGCCTTTATATGTATGTGCATGTGTGTATGTTTATATGTGTATGCATACGACATGAGCATTGACGTGTGCCTACGACAACTTAAAATTGTGTGAACGATTTTGGGTTTGACCGGAAGAGGTGCGCTTATACTTAAGTAGCTGACTAACTAAAGTGACAAGTGCACTTCCTATTACTTTTATAGGTATTTTTTAATTGCATGATTTTTATGACATCTAACAGATGCACCCTTTAAAATGGGTCCATTTGGCCAGTATATGTATGTATGTATGTACATACATATGCTTCTTATTAAAAAGGTAAATTTCACCTGTATATGCGCAGGTGCAAGGGATACCTTTCCAATTTGCCCACTGGGATAATCGGTAAATTTTAACCAAAACCGAAATTGCATAAATTGCATATAAGCATACATAAAAAATTTGGAGACTCTAGCAAGGTGTAGGAGATATAATTTTATAACTGGTTTTCGATAAGGTTTTTTATCGATTAAAAAAGATCGGGATGAGTTATCGATTTTTAATGATAAACTTGATATCCGCGCTGTAATTACGGACATTTAAAAAAAAAATTTGAAGTCTCTAGCTCTTATATCTTCTGAAATCGACGCGTTCATACATACGGACAGACGGACAGACGGACGGACAGAGCCAAATCAACTCAGCTCGTCGCCCTGATCAAGTATATATATACTTTGTGGGGTCTGCCACGCCTCCTTCTGCCTGTTACATACATTTCAACAAAACCATTATACTCTGATTTCCCATTGAAAATGGGTTCAGGGTATAAAAACAAGTAAGAAAGCTCTAGTCGAGACTGCGCGACTACGAGATCCCCTGAACCCTTCGAGCAACTGATATTTCAATAATTATTCGCATATGCGCACATACACGCACAAACATAGACATACGTACGCACGCATAAATACGCATTGGCTGCTCACTATGGGAACTATGGGAACTTAATTGTTTAATAACTTTTCTTGTGGATGGACTATCCTCAAGAAATTTTCAGATTATGAATATAACATAGATATGCATGTATTTCCCAAAGAAGTCCCTAGTATTTGAAATACGCCTTTTACAAATGTGAGGGCGAGGGGGTGAGAGTCTAGCGTTAAAGATGTAGCAGATATAAATTTATTACTGGTTTTTGATACTGTTTTTAATCGATAACAGAATAACGGGGCAATTTATCGATATTTAAAGCAAAACTCGATATGCGCGTGCTATACACGGACCCAGGAAAAATTTAAGGTCTCTAGCTCTAATATCTTCTGAGATCGACGCGTTCAAACATACGGACAGACGGACGGACGGACGGACAGACGGACGGACGGACAGACGGACAGGGCTAAATCGACTCATCTCGTCGCCCTGATCAAGAATATATATACTCTTTACACGCCTCCTTCTGCCTGTTACATACATTTAACAAAACCATTATAACCTGATTTCCCATTGAAAATGGATTCAGGGTATAAAAAAAATCATTCTCATAGGCAAACCTACGATCATTGAAATAAAATAATCTATTTAACTAAAACGCGATTCTTCAATTAAAACCAAAAATCGTTCACACCACTCTAAAGCTAGGTACACACGATGCAAACAATTTGCAGCAAGTTGATTGCTGCATATCAAATATGCACGTTCGAACACGAGTGCAAACATTTTGCTGCAAACAAAATATTTGCAATAACTGTTTGCTGCAACTTTTTTTTCTTGTCGTCTGCACACAGAATTTTGCCGTTAACTTGGTTGCGTCAGTTGTTTGCTTGTTTGCATGTGCTGTTTGCTTTCAGCCGCAATATTGCAGCAAGCAAAGCAAAATGTGGGATCGCGAGAAAACGATTGAGAATTTTTTAGTTTTATGGGATGTTTCGTCAGCAGACTTTAAAAATAAGTATAAAAAGCAAAATGCTTATCGCGAAATTGCTAAAAAAAATGTACTTTTTCTAATAAAAAATTGAAATCACTGACTGACATGCGAAAATTGTAATAGTTTTTTTCATCACCATATTGTAGCTCTTTTTAAAGGTTCTGATGCACTCCTTTCCATCTCGTTTAGAAATCCACTCTTTCACCCAACACTTTTTTTTTTTGGCAGACTTTGATCTCATTTTTTTTCGTTTTATCAAAATTGCTAATATAGCAACAGCAGCAACTCTCGATTGTTGTGTCGACATAATATAAACACGTCTTTATTCCTTGAATTTTTCAATTCAACTTGCAAATGAGTGTCACTTGCAAGCAATGCAAACAAAAACAAATAATGAAAAAAAGTGTAGACATTAATGCAATATATTGCACGAAATAGCCATACAAAAGTTTGCGTGCAAAACAAAAATTGATTGCAGCAAGTAATTTGCATGCAATATTTGCATTGGTGTGAACATTTGTGCAAACCTTTGCTGCAAATTATTTTCAACTTGCCGCAAATTGTTTGCATCGAATGTACCTAGCTTAAGTTGAGAGAGGCACACGCCAATGCTCATCTCCCATGCATACATACAAACACATACACACACGCACATGTAAAGGCACACAGACATACAAGCGCTTCTACAAGTTATATCCCAAAATTGTGAGCAGCGTCTCCCATGCGTACACACAATCAAATGTATATACATACATACATATGTATGTGAGCACTTCACAAGATCGACCAAATGCAAATGCTGGGCTTCAAAATTGCTACAGGCAGCCAGAGACAAATGCTCATAGTACATGTAGCAAGGGACAGTGTGTGTGTGCATGCTCGTCGCGAAAAAATGTTCATTATGCGCACCAACGCTTTCATATCCTTCCCACAAATAATAGCGAAAACGCAAACATTTCGCATGAGCATGGCAAACGATTTGAAAAGTTAGCTATACTCTTCACACAGAAGGGAAGAAACGGGAGTCTAACGCGACGAAATTTCAATTTTCGTGAGCTGCTGCTTGTGCTCACATGCATACATACATAAACATATTTGAGAGAGCAGAGTGAGAGAGAGAGCAAGAAAAAATTGAGCATAGTAGATCCTTTTGTTCAATATTTGACCATCTTTGTCGAACGCATGAAGCGAAATGATTGTGCTTTCGTATATTTTCGTAGCCCGAACCTAAAAGTGAAGAGACGAGCAAATACGAAGTGTCTGGGAGATAACTCCCGAAAAAAAAGTGTGCAAAACGCTTTACACTGCTTGTCCGGTCTATGTGTTCTCTGGTTAGTGATATAGCGCTGATATCGAGTTTATTTCAAAAGATCGATTACTCATCCCGTTATCCAATATCCAAAATCAGTATTAAATTATATTTGCTACATCTTTAGAGCTAGAGTCGCAAAATTTGAAATTTAGACTCATATACATATACTTTATAGAATTTCGATTCTAAATCTAAATGGTAAATTTTTAAATTCAAATTAAACAAAAATATATAAAAGCAAATACTTGTTAGTAAGAGAAAATGGTTGAAATTCAATTTGATTTTAATGCACCAGGGCTTCTAGATACATACATAAGTCATCTGCCGAGTACTGATAAAATTAAATTTTAAACAAGTAGGAAAGCTATAGTGGAGACTGTTAAATAATATTAATTTATAAATTTTGAATTTGATAAAAACACGTTTTTAACAGTATATGCGATTTATTTTCAGGTTGCAAAATTCACAATTCTCATTCCATTCTGTGATCGTATTTATAGTTTTACGGAGGACTCAAAATTATATACTTACACATGACGGCGGTTCATTTTTAATAAGGCTTGTGTGAATGGCACCAGAAATATACAGTATAGTAAGATCATCAATGTATATTGGTAAGACGAATAAAAAACAAGTTTGTAAATATATTTAGTGAGCTTTATAAGAGTTATTATGCGTATAAAACTTTATCAGCTAGGTTGGACTGATTGTATTCATTCCGATACTCTTTCGCAAAGCCTTACAATTCTTAAAATATATCTCTTGATGCTTGTTGTGACCTGATAAAATAGGCAGAGATTCAACGCATTACATTATGAAGTTCCAACGCCATCCGATCACCAACACCTCTTACACAACGTGTGGTTTAAGTTAACTAGAACAAGCAAATTGAAAAAATCTCAGAAATTTGAAATATCCGTGGAATATGAATATTGGCCGGAAACTTATATCAAAATAAAATTAAACTTTTACTATTACTATATTACTACTATTACTATAAACTATTACCCATATTATATATTGGCGTTTTTTTTTTTTACATCATGAATTATTTTACGTGAAACGTCATATTTTTATGTTTTCTGGCAGCCCATTTGAAAAAAATATAAGTCTCCCATAAGGGGATGTGAAAGGCAGATATGTTGAACATCACTAGAGATTTAAAATCTAGCATATCTTTCGCGGGTACAGATTCTATATACAAATATTTAGTTTTATGCGTATACCCAAAAGGCGCACGGTAAATCGTAAAAATCAATTTCTTTAGTTACTGGTAACCGTCTCTATAAATGACTTTTGTCGTCTGGAGAGGCTTGGCTTATCGAAATATTTGGCATCAAGACGGACATTCCACAAAAGCAATAACTATTGTTAAAGTTTGTACATTTATTACTAACTACAGTTTAGGGTTCCGGGCGATCGAAAATATTTAAGAAAATTAAAATCCGTTATACTAAAATTATGTCTTGCAAGTTTAAATAAATTTATTTATTGTTTCAGGAAATTGGTTGTCATCTTTCCCCGTTATCAATATAAAGCGATGACAAAGAAATTAGCGACATAATGATTTGGTTAAGGTAAGAAATTATGCAAGTAATTAAATTTTCATTTGTCAGATGTTTTTGTGTAAAGGCATATAATATTGTGAATTTTTACTGATATTTGATATTTATTTTAACTAAGCTTTTTATGTTTTTATACTCATTCACCAAAGTGAATGAATGGTTTTATGCAATGTCGGTCTTGCTGTTCGTCCGTCCGTCCGTCTGTCCGTACGAACGTATGAAGCTGGAGACTTGAAATTTAGAACACATACTCGTGTATATATCCGATTTAAAGTGTTAAAATTTACGGGCGGTACCGACTGCGGAATACTCATTCACATCCCATCAGCACTTTATAGTTTCTGAGATATAAACTTTTACGGTTTGCCACGCCCCATATGGGCGGACATATATCCGCCTTAGCTCTTTTGTCTTGGGGGCTCAGCCTGAGTATATATATCATATTTCAGGTCATCAATCAATAGTGCCCAAAATATAGCAGAATTTGAAAATCACTGTATTTTCAGGTCCGATTTGCCACGCCCCTGCTGGGTGTAACATTAGCTAACAATTTTAACGTTCTGGCTTTAAAACTCTAGGAGATACGGCTTTATCCGATTTGCCACGCCCCAATCTTGGGTGGTCGACGCGGATCTACATTTCAAATTTCAGCATTCTAGCTCTTCAGCTAATATGATTTCTGGCATATTGGAAAATGCATTTTCCGATAATAATGTAAATATTTCAAAAAGTTGTTGGCCCATTGTTAATCTGAGTACGTCAATAGATGGAGCACTCAAAGACGCTTTCAACGAAGTAGGTCATAAAGAAATCGGCCAAGAAATAGTCCTGTTATATCTAAAAATAAGTCAATTTTCTGATCTTATACCGCATTTCAGAGAATAATAATTAACTAATAACTTTTCTTGTCGATAGACTATCTCCATCAAACTTGTAGATCGTGATCATAACGTTAAAATGCGTGTATCTGTCAAAGCACAAATCTCTAGTATTTGATATACGCCTTTTACAATTATGTGTAAATTTTGACAAAAAACGAAATTGTATAAAATACATATCAATTAACGTACAAAATTGGGCGACTCTAGCTTTAAAGATATAGGATTATTATTATTTTCGAAAATGTTTTTAATCGATACAAAATAACGGGAACAGTAATCGATTTTTTGAGAAAAACTCAATATCGGCGCCAGATATACGGACATTTAAAAAAATTCAAGTCTCTAGGCCAAATCGACTCAGCTCGTCGCCCTGATCAAGAATATATATACTTTGTGGGGTCTGCCACGCCTCCTTCTGCCTGTTACATACTTTTAACAAAACCATTATACCCTGATTTCCCATTTTCAATGGGTTCAGGGTATAATAAGCCGAGGCATTCGTGTTTTTTGTAAATTTAGTGAATTAATTAGGATTACGATTAGGATCGCAAATATTCTATTCATATCGATTTCAAATATTGACTATCTTACATATAAAAAAAACTAACTCAATTCTTTCTTTTTTAGCTCTTTACATCTGAGAGTACTGTGACACCTCATATTGCCATAAGTTAAATTCTCCAACCATTTTTTTTTAAATCATCCTGCTTGGATTTTAAAAAATGCATGCCAATGTTGCTTCTGATCGCGGTGGTGGAGGCGGATCGTGGAGACTTCCCCCGGATGAGACATTGCAAGTTCAAGATCCAAAGCAAAAAGATCAGGACTTGGACTTGGATGAAGGACACAACTGGCGTAGTATAATCTTCTCTTTATTGGTTATTAGTTTCGTAATAGCTGGAATAATAACTGCTATATATTTACTGGGGTAAGTATATTTTATTTGAGCACCTTACAAATAATAACTTGCAAAATAGTACTCTAATACGATAGAGTAAAAAAAAGTTGTGGCATCAGCATCCGTAATTGACAAACTTGTATCTATCGGGTAGGGTTAAGCTAATGCAAACAGACCTAAAGTACATCTGTTCATTTGATTAAACTTTCTTCCCAGAGGTGAAAAATTGCAATTTGCGTTTACAGCGTTTATACCACATTGACGCTAGATACTTGAAATTTGGAATATATACTCTGATAGGGTTAAGGTTAGCTTAGGCACATCGGAAAATGAATTGTCTGGTCTTTTAGAAATCCTAAAGCTAGAGAGTATTAATTTGGAATGTATTGCGTTGATAACTTAAGATCAAAACAAGTAAGAAAGCTGTAGTCGAGACTGCCCGACTACGAGATCCCCTGAACCCTTCGAGCAACACATATTTCAATATTTCAATTCGCATATGCCCACAGACGCGCACACACACAGTCATACGCACGCACGCATAAACATGCACTGGCTGCAGTGGTGGCTTACTATGGAAACTTAATTGTTTAAACTTAATTGTTTAAACTTAATTGTTTCTTCTGGATGGATGAAACTTTCTTCCCTATGAAACTTTCAGAATATGAATATAACATAGATATGCATGTATTTGCTAAAGAATAGTAGTAGTATTTGTAATACGCCTTTTACAAATGTGAGGGTGAGGGGGTGAATTAGGAGTGGGGGTAGATATTGACAAAAACCGAAATTGTAGAAAATGCATATAAGTATACATATAAAATTTAGATATCACGCCCATTCGCAATTATTTCCAAAACAAGATTTTCCAAGTACTAGAGACTTGTGCTGTCGCTTTGGTTAAAATCACGCTCTGGATGTTTGATGAAGATTGTCCCACTAAAAGCGAATTTATCCATTTATGGATATGTTCTCATAATATTGTCCACATTGCAGCCCAAGCTTAGTCGCGGTTAGCTGTTTTTCAATTCCACGCTCATAACTGAGTACTTAAGTAAAATTAAATAAATCGATAACAGACTTCTTAAATTAGATCTGGATGCTAAATCTAAATCTAACAATCACTATATATAGCTGATTTCTCTAGTGATATAGTGATATATATAAGGTAAGCGCTCCCACACTAGAGTACTAGTGATTGGGGACGCTGTGTTGGGCTCTTGTGAATATATAACTTTGTGTTCAATGATGTGCTTTGTAATGTACACACATTTTTACTATATGATTACGCTGAAAGATTCATTACGATTGTATATCTACAAAAGAAATTATTCAACAAATAAATTTGTATAATATTGCCCACATTGCAGCGCAGCCCAAGCACAGTCGCTGCTTACTGCGCAGCTAGCAGAGCGCGTGCTTATAAGTGCATGTGTATGTATGTGGGCATAAAAGAAGTCCAGAATGATTAGAATATCAGCTTGGAGGGTTCAGAGTATCTCCTAGTCGAGCTGTTACGACTGGATCCTTCTTACTTGTTTCTTTTATATATTGTTGCCAGACTTATTCTTTTCCGAAAGGGAAATCCAAAATATTCCTCTTTGGTTCTAAGACCTACTAGGGTAAGGGTTATTCCACGATCGAATAGAAGGTCTCCTGTAATTCATGTTTTTATTTTTGCATATTTATGCTTTGCTTGTTGATTAGAGATTTCCAGACAACCTCCTTTTAATTTTGTTACATAGTTAGTGCTTTAAACTTAGCTTTGACCACTAGGTTCCTTTTAATTTACGACGTTTATTTTTTATGACATTTGTCTTACGGCAGGATTTGAACCTCGATACGAGAATCAATCTCCTACCACCATTATGCCTGCAAATTTCTTGTATTTTCGTTTTAAGAGTCGCCTCGGATTTGAACCTAGGTATTGCCAATACCACCATTTAGCCAGGATTTCTTTTATGTTATAGAATTGTCTAGTGCACCAACACTTGCTAGAAATTATGTTATGGCAAGGACTATCACCCCATTACTTTGCAAATCACAGAAGTACTTCGTAATTTTGCCAATAAATGCCCAATTGGATTGGAACAACTTATTTGTACTTGCTTTTTTTTTAATAAGTTATTTTTATAGAATTATTGACACGTCACCATTTCCCTTTATTTCCGTGAAGAATGTGGGTCCCTGCTCGGGCGCCAGTTAAGCGCTCCCACACTAGAGTACTAGTGATTGGGGACGCTGTGTTGGGTTTTTGTGAATATATAACAACTTTGTGTTCAATGAAATAATATATTTTATATAATTTAGTAACAATAGATTTAAACTCTCTCTAGTCCGACTATGAACTGAACTAAATCTGTTCTACTGGTCATCTTCTCCCCTTGAATGTGTGACTGGACTCTCCAGTCTCCTTAGATTGTCGATAGTCTTAACCTATATATATATGTAAATATATACTGCTTATACTATATTTTATATTTATTTAACTTAACTTATATATATAAATATATACTGCTTATACTATATTTTATATTTATTTAATAAATATTTTTTATAGATATGTGGATGAACTACTATATTGGTCGGGTCGAAGAATGATTCTCGATGAGTATTTGCAAGGTGAATTGACGCCGACCCGATTACAGCCATCATGGGTGACAACGAAGAAATATGTCTTTCAATCAGACGATGGAGGGCTTTCCCTATTGGATACTTCAGTAAACTCAATAAATATTTTAGTAACAAATCATACCATACGTCAGCTAAATGTAAGGGGATATGAATGTTCACACGATCTGAAATATGTACTATTCAGGCACAATGTAAAGAAGGCAAGTTGATTAAAGTATATAATGGTAAGCATTATAAATTATAAATATATTTCACAGATATTTCAGAAATCCTTTACTGCGTTTTACACAATCTATGATGTAGATAATGACCACCATATGCCTGTGAAGTTAAAAGACTCATCGAAGGTGCAAAGAACCCGACTTCAATATGCTGCCTGGCTGGGAAACACAACTTCAATCATCATTGTTGCTGACAATGATATATTTGTAAGACAATCTCCATCCATGGAAGAAGATATAAGAATAACAATGACAGGTCAAGAAAACAATATTTATAACGGAGTTCCAGATTGGCTTTACCAAGGTGATTTTATATGTAAATTGTTTGTAACATGTTTTGTTTTTTGACCGGTATTCATTGATTTGTATAAAATCAATATTAAATGTAATATATCTGATTTTCTATACCCTGTATATAATATATGTAACAGGTAGAGGGAGGCGTGACAGATCCCATATAGTGTATATGGGAAATTTTCTAGTTTCGAATGTGAGATTCGTACGTATGTGAAGTAAAAACAAGTAAGAAAGCTCTAGTCGAGACTGCCCGACTACGAGATCCCCTGAACCCTTCGAGCAACCGATATTTCAAGAATTATTCGCAGTTGCACACGCACGCACGCATAAACACGCATTGGCTGCAGTGGTGACTTGGTATGGGAAATTAATTGTTAAATAACTTTTGTTGTGGGTGGGCTATCTTCATGAAACTTTCAGATTATGATTATAACATGGATATGCATGCATTTGCCAAAGCAAATGTGCGGGTGAGGGGGTGTATATAGGGGTAGGAATAAATTTTGACAAAAATCGAAATTCTATAAAGTACATACGAATCTACATTTAAAATTTGGGGACTCTAGCCTTAAAGATGTAGCAGATATAAATTTATTACGGGTTTTCGATAACGTTTTTAATCGATAACAAAATAACGGGGCAAGCTATCGATTTTTGAAGCAAAACTCGATATCCGCGTGGTATACGCGGACCTAGGAAGTTTCAAGTTTTCAAGACGTGTCCAACACGGTCACGGCTAAATCAACTCAGCTCGTTGCCCTGATCAATAATATATATACTTTATGGGGTTTGCCACGCGTCCTTCTGTTTGTTACATACATTTTAACAAAATCATTATACAAATGCATGCATATTCACGTTATAATCATAATCTAAAAGTGTATGTGGTTGTGTATGTGTATTTATGTGTTTGTGTATGTGTGTGTGTATGTGAGTGGGTGTATGCGTTTGTGTCTGTATGCGTGTGTGTGTATGTATGCCTGTGTGTGCGTACGTGCGGGTGTGTGTGTGTGTGTGTGTGCGTGTTTCTTGTGTAAGCTGAAAGACGCGAAAAATTATTGAAATATCTATTGCTCCAAGGGTTCAGGGGATCTCGTAGTCGAGCAGTCTCGACTAGATCTTTCTTACTTGTTTTTCTGTCTTTTCGTTAGTTTTATGGTAGCATAGTCCAGATTCAAAGTATGCCTCAATCTTTGATTTTTCAACCAAAAATAAAACTGTTTCTTTACCCATACTATAAATATATTTAGTACTTTGAGCTTCACAAGAAATTTGGTTAGTGTAATTGTTAAAATAAGGAAGATAACTACAATTGCATTTGTGGGCGCTAATCTGATGTCACAAAATAAGTGCACGCATTCCTTGCGAAAATAAAGAATAATAGACAATAAAACATAACGGGTTTTCTATCGCTCTTTCGCTTTTTTTATGAGAGATGACCTGATGATGCGCAGTATATATTTTTGATCACGGCGACGAGCTGAATCGATATCGCCATGTCCACCTATCCGTCCGTCCATATGAACGATGAGATGTATAGTCGTGTATGAGTGTATAATATTTTTTCGAAACCTTATCCCATAGTACTAGAGGCTTGTGCTTTGGAATGTACACGCATTTAACCATCACGATCACGTTCTGAAAGTTTTATGAAGATAGTCTCACTACAAATAATTTCTCATAATATTGGCCACACTGCAGTCCAATCGCAGTCGCTGATTACTGCGAGCAGACTCGACTAGAGTACTCTTATGTGTTTTTTAATGTATTAAGGAACGGAATAAATTTTATATTCAGGACTACAAATAAGGGTTCAATTCATACCTCTCTACACACAGGATAAACTTTTATTTGCAATTTTTAATTTTTTAAATTAATTTAAAGGATAAAAATAAAAAATAATTATTACACAGAAATGAAACCTATGACTTAATTTTTATTTTAAAATTAAAAAAAAAAAAACTTAGTGACATTACATTGCATGATGTTATGGGACTCGTGTGCAATCCGTTAAAAATTTGATGTCAGAATCAAAACGCAAGAATGACACTTTTCGAATCGTCACCTATTTTTACTTCCAATTTTATGAAATTTTATAATTTTTATCATATATTTTAATTTTAATAGCTAAAAAATATATATAATTAAAAAAAAATATGTATACAAAAATAATTTTATTTTAGAGGAAATTTTTGATATACCGGAAGCTATATGGTCATCCACTGATGGAAGTCACTTTATTTTCGCCTCATTTAACGATAGTCATGTCGGGATGATGACATATCCATGGTTATCATCTGGCGCCATAATTGCTGGTAGTGGTATGTCATCAGGAAGCTCATTTCCTGAAACCAAAAATGTACGGTACCCAACACCAGGCACTGCCAATCCAGAAGTTCAGTTGTGGATAGTCGACATAACGAATTTTACGTCCATAAATAAAGTGAAGTTAATGCCGCCGCCTTCCCTCCTTAAACAGTAAGTAAATATATTTGTACCAAAGTCTACGAAATGTGCGTGAATTATTAATTATTTACTTTTCATAGAGATTATTACTTAACATCAGCTGGCTGGGTATCTGGTAGCAATAATCAAGTATCTGTAGTTTACATGGTGCGCTCTCAAAATTATAGTATAATAGCAACGTGCTCAAAGGATACAAATTGGTCATGTGCAGAAGTAGGTGTAGTATTAATAATACAATAAATATAATTCACCAGCACTCACTAATTTTCAAGATTCATTCTGAGCGCGCACCCGAAGATGAATGGCTAGATATTTTTCCGCATCCTGTATTTGCTCCAGATGGAAACAGTTTTTTACTGCTAGCTGGCGTTCAGGAATCGGGAAACGATCATTTTACTCACATAAAACACATAACAATATCGCAGCAAAGAATTTCTGTAATATCCCATGGCCGTTATGAGGTATTTTCTTAAAGAACTATGAAATCAATAATATTATTATATTTGTTTAAAAGGTTTTAAAAATCTTATGTTGGGATACAACGAATCATATAGTGTATTATCTTGCTACTCAAGATAAAAAGCCTGGGCAAAGACATTTGTATTCAGTGAAGGATCCCGTGCATGATGATACCAGAAAGTAAGCCGAGTGTATTAACTTTATTAAATTCTAGTGTAATGAATGCAATTTATTTTTAAATACCAGAAGCGAGCCACAGTGCATAACGTGCGATTTAGGCGAAGCTTTATGGAGTAGTAGATATTATTATACAAATTGTTCCCATTTTGACGCCTTCATAACACCATCAAATGGATTAGCAACGAACTATGGAATTGATTTCTATATCCTTGAGTGTCAAGGTCCAGGATTACCGGTATCTGGGGTGCATACTCAGAGGACGCACAGCCTTGTGAAAATCCTGTATGATACGCGACCATTTTACACAGAAAGATTACAAAAATTAGCATTACCAATACAAAGATCATTTGAAATACCATTACCGCATGGTAGTCGTGCGCAAGTGCAATTGCTTTTGCCCCCAAGCTGGCGAGAAGAACTCCGAGATGCAGCGTTTCCTGTTGTTGTCGAAGTGTATGTACCAATTATTTTTTACGAAAAGATTTCTTTGTTCTTTACAGATCATAAAATTTACAATTATGCACTTATTTATAATAGTCGACTCTCGGTATTTCGAAATTCAAGGGACTAATACTAAGAGTTATCGAATGTTCGAAATATTAAATGTTTCGAAATTTTGAGAGAAAATAAATAAAACTTCGCATTTTCAAGGGTTTTTATTTGTAATGTATATTCCAATTATTTTATCGTTTATGGTTTGAAACACATTGTTGCTTTTTTCAGGCTATAATGTTTTTGTTGAAATGTATGTAACAGGCAGAAGGAGGCGTGGCAGACCACACAAAGTATATATGTACATATATTCTTAATTAGAGCGACAAGCTAGCCCTGTCCGTCTGTCTGTCTGTATATAGCGCGCATTTCAAGTTTATCTCCAAATATCGATAGCACATTCCGTTATTTTTTATCGATTAAAACCCTTAACGAAAATAGGTTATTTAATTATATCTCCCATACTTTAGAGCTAAAGTCTCCAAACTTTAAATGTAGACTCATATGTATTTTATTGCATTTAGATTTTTGTTAGATTTACGCCTACCCCTAAATTCTCCCCCACTTCTACAAATGTAAAATAGTAGAGACTTGTGCTTTGGAAAATGCATGCAATGACAATCTAAAAGTTTCATGAAGAAAGTCCATCCACCATAAAAGTTATTAAACAGTTAAGTTCCCAAAGTAAGCCCACACTGCAGCCATGCGTGTTTGTGCGTGCGTGCCTACATACATATGTACATACATATGTATGTATGGCTGTGTGATTCTTGTGTAACCAGAAAAAAGCGAAGAATCATTGACATATCAGTTCCTCGAAGGGTTTAGGGTTTAGCTTTCTCACTTGTTCAATTAATTTTTTCTTTTCAGCAATCGTCAAACTTTTATACTTTTTAGGACTCATATTTCATAAAAATTTTAATATGTACAGTGGCTCCAACGCCAAATCGGACAAGACTATTTATTTATTTCAATAAGTATTTTCTTTAGCAGTAAGTTAACTTTTTACCGTTTTCACATTTTTTCTCAAATCTATTATGTATTAGCCCCCTAAAACAAAAAAAAAATTTTTTAATTTCAAATGACAACATTTTTTTTATTTTAAAAAACTAACAACAAGTCCGATTTTGAGCTTCAACGCCAAATCGGACAAAAGAAAACTGCAAGAAAAAGATCCGTTATTTGGCGGAGATTTTCGTTTTTGTTTTGCTTATTGCGTTTCGTTATGTTCTCAAGCTCATAGGCGTACAGTAACACAAATTATTTTTGCGAAATGGCTCCACGTGGGAAGCAAACTGGTGTTGAGGCACGCCAAATAATATTAAAACTGCATTTTGATGGCAAAACTGTTAGAGAAATAGCAGAGCTGGTCGGAAGAAGCAAATCTACCGTCCATGATATCATAAAAAGGTTTCGGGAAGATGGAAGATTGATTAACAAAAGCCAGGAGGGAAAAAGAAAGCGATTAAACTCAAGGGAAGAGCGGTCGATTATAAGGGATATTAAGGTTGATCCCTTTAAAACCGCAAAGGAACTAAGGATGTCATTAAAAACAAACTTTGGAAAGGATGTGTGTGACAACACAGTGCGCAATACTTTGCATCGGTATGATTTGCATGGCCGAGTTGCCCAAAAAAAGCCTTATATTAGCCCTAAGAACAAAGCGTTTAGGGTAAAATTCGCGAAAGAGTACTTGCTAAAAACGGATGACTTTTGGAATCATGTTAGTTGGTTGTATATCATATTAAATACCTTTCTTTTTTGCTAATTATCTTATTTAAAGGTGTTGTTTACTGATGAAAGTAAATTTAATTTGCATGGGTCCGATGGTAAGGTGTATGTGTGGCGTAAACCAAATACTGAGTTTGAGCCCAAGAACACAATAGGCACTGTTAAGCATGGAGGAGGTTCAGTCATGGTTTGGGGCTGTATGTCGAGTGCGGGAGTTGGCCATTTGCACTTTATTGATGGCATACTCGATAAATTTGGCTACCTTGATATTTTGAAAAAAAATGTTAAGCAGAGTGCGGAGAAATTGGGAATACTTGAAGACTTTGCTTTCTATCAAGACAACGACCCCAAGCACACTTCAATGCTAGCTAGGCTCTGGCTAATCCATAATTGTCCCAAATTGATCCAAACGCCTGCCCAGAGCCCGGATATAAACGTAATAGAAAATCTGTGGGAAATTTTGGCGAGGAAAGTTTACCAAAACCGGTATAACAATCTGGACCAATTGAAAATGGGATTACTTGCAGCTTGGAACTCCATAGAGCCAGAAATCTGCAAAAAGTTGGTCAAATCAGTTCCCAATCGCTTGCAGGCTGTTGTCGCAAACAAAGGTTTTGCAACAAAATATTAAATATTAAGTTTTTCTCTTATTTTTTATTAAAGTTTTCTTTTGTCCGATTTGGCGTTGAAGCTCAAAATCGGACTTGTTGTTAGTTTTTTAAAATAAAAAAAATGTTGTCATTTGAAATTAAAAAATTTTTTTTTTTGTTTTAGGGGGCTAATACATATTAGATTTGAGAAAAAATGTGAAAACGGTAAAAAGTTAACTTACTGCTAAAGAAAATACTTATTGAAATAAATAAATAGTCTTGTCCGATTTGGCGTTGGAGCCACTGTATAGCATGCAACCACGCACAGTAATCGTAGTTTCAGAGGAGTCCCCAAATTTAAATTCAAAGTTCGTACTAACACACCAACTTGAACTTTGAGTTTTCGAGTGTTTGACCAAATGAGTACGAATTGCCGCGTCTAAGCAAAGATTTTTTAGTTCCAATTACTGAAGGCATAAAAATATATTAACATAATTCGAAAGAGAATTTGTAAGGGACTCGTGATTACTTTGAATTAATGAGAGGTTCGAAATATCGCAGGTTTGAAATAACGGGAGTCGACTGTATGTATATTTTTCTATATCCATGTCCGCATATCCGTCTGTCCATATGTATGAATGCGTCAATATGAGAGGTATACCCTTGTATTTGTAGGTCTTTGAATAGCACGCGCATATCGACTTGTCGATTCAAATTTTTATTTAATCAGTCATAATTAAGGGTTAGCATACGTAGCAAGCGTGTGCACACCTACATTCAAACATTTTAGACCATAAAGTGTTCAAATTAGACTGAAAGAAAGTCGAATTTTCGATCATTCTCGATAAAAAAGTTATCGGATGAGTTATCAAAAAAATAAGATAAACTTGTATTGTCTATGGTATACACGAGTATGTATGCCAAATTTCAGCTCTCTAGCTCTTATATCTTCTGAGATCGGCTTGCTCATATGGACGGACAGACGAACAGACGGACAGGGTTATACCGACTTAGCTCGTCTCCCTGATCAAGAATATATATACTTAATGGGGTCTGCGATGATTCCTTCTGCCTGTTACATACTCTTCACAAAACCATGAAACCCTGATTTCCCATTTTCAATGCGTTCAGGGTATAAAAATTTACCACTATTAATTCGTACGCTGCGTAATGTGATTTACTATCATACTTAAAACAATAATTTAATTAATATTAGAATTGTATACCGTCGCCGTTGGCGACTCGTTTTGGCATTAATTTTAACAAATTTTTACAGTGCAACTTGATTTTCAAGTCAGAAATATTCCTTTGTGGGTCATTTCGAGGCTGGTTTTTCATTAGACACCAAATATTTTCAATTGGGCTTAGATCTGGGCTATTTGATGGTCAATCTAGAACCTCCATTTGATTATATTGCAGCCAATTTCAGGTTCATTTGGCTGTGCGCGATGATACTCCGTCATGCTGAAATGTGAATTCACTGCAATCAGCTAGTTTTGGTATTGATGGCAACAATAATATATTATAACAACAATAATATGTAACATATTAATACATTTTTCAACATTAAACGTCCTTTCAATGAAATGCATTTTTTCTAATCCTTTGGTAGACATACATGCCATACCATAGTGCTCGCAGGGAACTTTGTTGTTTTTTTAAGGCAGTCTTTATGATATGTTTCTGCCCTCTTGCGAATGACGTGTTTTCTCGTATCGCCGACACAAACATCAAATTTAGCTTCATTGTTGAATATGATGGTATCCCGTTGCCTTTGAGTCAAATACATCCTTTCCCGAGCTCATTCAAACGCTTCTTTTTTTTTTTGACGAAACGTAAGCAAGAGTTTTTCCTTGGCCTACGAGTAAGACAAGTTATTGGGTACGATGCATAGGTAATAACAAAACATACTTTATAAAAACCTTATCCAATATTTATACCCTAAACCCATTGAAAATGGGAAATCAGGGTATAATGGTTTTGTTAAAAGTATGTTACAGGCAGAAGGAGGCGTGGCAGACCTCACAAAGTATATATATTCTTGATCAGGGCGACGAGCTGAGTTGATTTGGCCCAGTCCGTCTGTCCGTCTGTCTGTCCGTCCGTCCGTCCGTCCGTATGAACGCGTCGATCTCAGAAGATATAAGAGCTAGAGACTTGAATTTTTTCCTAGATCCGTGTATATCACGCGCATATCAAGCTTTTCTCTATATATCAATAAGTACCCCCGATATTTTATTATCGATTAAAAACCTTATCGAAAGCTAGTTATTTTATTATATCTCAAACACCTTTTGAGCTAGAGCTTCCAAATTTTAAATACAGATTTATATGTATTTTATATAATTTCGATTTTTGTTGTAATTTACCCCCACCCTTATATCCACGCCCTCACCCTCACCTTTGTAAAATGCGTATTTCAAGTATTAGAGACTTGTGCTTTGGTATGTACATAGATTTGAACATTATGATTATGTTCTGAAAGTTTCATTAAGATTGTACGTCTAGAAATTAAATTATTCAACAAATTAATTCTTATAACGTTGCCCACACTGCAGCGCAGCCCAAGCGCAGTCGCTGCTTACTGCGTAGTTAGCAGAGCGCGTTCTAATACGTGCGGGTGTATGTATGTGTGTCGAAAAGAAGTGCAGACTGATTAGAATATCAGATTAGAGGGTTCAGGGTATCTCTTATCTCGACTAGAGTCTTCTTACTTGTTTTTTTTTTTTTTTTTTTTTTTTTTTTTTATTTTTTATCACCCTATGCACAGACTTAGACAAATTTAATCTCCGTAAGTGTCTTCCCAGATTTAAAATAATCCCTAAGCAATAATCTGATTTCGAATTATTGGTGTTTTGGGCTCGTAGACATTTGCTGTAAGTGCCGTTGCAATACCGATGTTGGGCTTTGCCTAGTTGGTCATTTCCCGATTAGAGTTTTCTACCTTGTTTTATAAAAAATACTTTTTTAAATAAGGAACTTAATTCGTGTATTTTCCTATTATTTTATAGCAATGGCCGGCCGGGTTCCGAGTCTGTTTCTGAAAAGTTTAGAATAGATTGGGGAACATACATGTCCTCAAGAAATGATGTTATTTATGTGCGCTTGGATGTTAGAGGAGCAAAAGGCCAAAGCAAAAAGTCTTTATATCGTCATTTGGGGGGAGTCGAAGTTCAAGATCAAATATCTGTTTTAAGGTGAGTATAATTTTAAAAATATATATAGGCGTCATTTACAATAACAACAAATTTGAATTTGTCTCAATGCTAAGATATCTATTGGATACCATAAGCTTCTTGGACGAAACAAGAGTTGGTATTTGGGGCTGGGGCTATGGAGGATATGTGACCTCTATGGTTTTGGGAACTCAGCAAGATGTCTTTAAGTGCGGCATATCGATTTCCCCTATTGCTGATTGGTTATATTATAGTAAGAAATACTGATTTAATACTAATTAATATTGTTCATCCATAAATCAATATAAATGATTTTAGATTCTGCCTTTACTGAACGCATATTGGGTCTACCTGCGGAAAACTATAAAGGATACGTAGAAGCTGATGCAACTCAACGTGCTCGACTTATTAAATCAAATTCTTTTTTTTTAATTCACGGCTTAGCAGACTCTACAGCACCCTACGTCCATGGTGTTCAATTAGCTAAATCATTAACAGAAGCAAATATATTATATCGATATCAGGTAAGGCTTTGTAAACTTTTAAATTTACCCAACAACAAAATTATTTTTTTTATTTACAGACTTATGCTGATGAAGGTCATGAACTAAATGGAGTCTTAGAGCATGTATACTCTTCAATGGAGCATTACTTTGCAGAATGCTTGAGCTTGGATCCAGATGATACTAAGCCGGATTTGGATCAAAATATGGTACCTGCTGAGTAGCAGTGTTAAAGAACCTTGGAAATGTACATAGAGTAGACTAAATATTATAATATTACACAGAATTTGAATTGTTATACCATTATATTTAGATACATTGGTTGTTTTCAAACGAAGGAAAATGAAAAAACGAAATATGGCTCATAAATTGCTTTATTCTAATACAGAAATAGTACTTATGCCACAAAATTTAAAGTTACACAAAATATCCTTCGATCGATGGTTGTATTGTGTATGTATTGTAAATTTTGTCTTAAATATTTTATAAAATCTTAAGTGCATATAACTTCCAAAGAGCCACGTACTCGTTGGAGCTAATTACATGCTTCCTTTTCTAGTCCTTCCCATATATATATATATATATATACTAGTGGCAGTGGTTTTAAAAACATACTATTTATACTGCTTTCAGTAACCTCATTAATAAGCAATCTACATATTTGGTCTGTTAGATTATGTAATTCGATTTTGTTGTGAAAACAATTTTTTGTTTTTGTATAAAAAAATAAAAATAACATCATAGACTAAGCCGTTTTACAAAGTTCTAAATTTTAATTTAATTTATATTTTCATATCTTCTTACATAATATTGGAATCCACGATGAGAAGTATCTTAACAATCGTAAATGCAATCAGCTTATTAAAATGTGAACTGCCTGCCTTTCAAGAGATATACTGCTGCCCTCAATGTATAGATCCTAATGTCCTAGCTACTCGACTCGATTTGCCTATAAGTATTTCAATTATCTCAAAGTTATTATTAAAAGCAAATTGGCAAAACGTTCGAAGATTTTTTCACAGTCGTAAAAGTTTTTTTTTTTTAATACATACTATGTTAGGGCTAACTTTATCGGCACTTGTCTTTGTTCTTTGTTCTCGTTGCGTTGAAATATAAATGTATTTCATATTGTGTCAGTAAGAAAACAAAAACTGACAATTTAGAATCGTAAAATTGTATAGAATAATATAAATTGTTTCAAAATAATATTTTTTACACTGTATAATAATTTACAAGCCACTTATAACTATTTAAGATTCGGATTTCCGAAAGTGTTACTTAATTAATTTATATTATAAAATAAATATGGTGATTAGAAATTTTACATCTAGGACGTATATCTGTGAATTGCAACTTGATTTGTTTTGTTTGATTTTATTCAAAAATAAAATAAATAAATAAATAATTTTTTATTTAGTAATATTTTGAGTTGCTTAAAGTGACTTTACTTTTTAAAGTAATGTTTTTTTTTTTTTAAACTTCTTTTGAAAGTAGAATGTGTGTAAGGTATATTGTAGATGTGTCCTAATCCTAATGAAAGGTTATGTTACCTTACTAGAAAAACTAATTTCGTACACATGATCAGCAAATAAGTACCTATGATCTACTGCGTAATGAGGCATATATTTCGATTCATTTTAAAAAGGAATTGATTAGGGAACAGTATCTGTATTATCGTTTAAGAACTACTATCGCTGCAAGTCTACTCTTCTTGATATCCATGTTATCATAACGACAAAAAAGATTTATTAGTATTTTCAAGCTAGCCACAAATAATTACCTTAACATTATACATTGAGACATTAGAATGTATAGCGGTATTTAAAACCGACAGCAGAGTCAATGGTGAACGTGTTAAAATAACCCATTTAATATCTGTTAGGAAATTGTGATACACTATCTAACAGATAAAAAGATTCGTGGTGGACTCTAAGGCGTATATATTCTTAATCAGGAGACCAGTTGACCAGTAAATGTACCAGTGTCCGTTCCAATGATTTTAAAGGTATCTACGTGTATAACGTACGCAGCATGAGCTTAAATTGTTTGTTTATATCTTATCCCGTTTATTTATTAGGCAACAAGTTAACTTCGTGCACTGAGCGTGGCTTGCATACCGTTAACGATAGAGATTTCAAATTTGATAATAAACATATTACAAATACTACAAACCTACAGTTAAAGATACTTATATAAATGTCACAATTATATACATGCTGAAAGAACGAAAATGTATATATGGAAAGGTACTTTAAATATATGTGTCCATACAACTGGGCTTAACTAAGGAACTCTTTTTTCCCTAGGAGTGTTACATTGGAATCACTGTTCAATTGGGTATCCAAATCAATATATGCAGTGCTTTAAAATATCATCCAATACCAATATCGACATGAAAAATTGATATTATCAATGCTAATCGTTATTATACCCTAAGCCCATCAAAAATGGAGATAGCTATATCATCTCGTCACACTGATCAAGAATATATACTTTATTGGGTCTGCCACGCCGCCTACTGCCTGTTACATACTTTTAACAGGGTATAAACAATTAAATACATGACTAATTACATTAATAACAAGTAAGAGTGCTGTAGTCGACACTGCTCGACTGGGAGATACCCTGAGCCTTCGAAGCTGATATTCTAATTATTCTGAAGCTGTTTTATGCACACATGCATATATATATATATATATATATGCATCCACAAGCACGCATCTGCGGAAAAAGGAAATCAATTATACTCGATAAAAACGATATCGGATAGATAATCGAAAAAATTAGATAAACTTGTGCGGCATGGTATACACGAGTATGCATGCCAAATTTCAAGTCTTTAGGTCTTATAACTTCTGAGATCTAGGCGTTCATAGGGACGGACAGACGGACAGTATAGCCCTGTCCGTCTGTCCGTCCCTATGACTCAGCTCGTCGACGATTGCAGTATTTTCCGATATGCCAGAAATCATATTAGTTGAAGAGCTAGAATGCTGAAATTTGGAATATAGATCTGCGACGGCCACCCAAGATCAACAAGCTATGGTGGATATACCTACGCCTATTCGGCGTGGAAAATCGGACCTGAAGATATAGTGTTTTTGTTTTTTTTTTTTAAATTCTGCTATATTTTTGACACTATTGATGCTAGAGACCTCACATTTGATATATATTCTCGGGCTGACCAGCCAAAGCCAAAAATCTATGGCGGCAATATGTCCGCCCACAGGAGGCGTGGCAAACTACAAAAGTTTATATCTCCTACAGTTTAAGAGTTAAAAGCTTCAAATTTGGATAGTTGAGTTTCTGGTAACCTCTTCTATCGATGACCCAAAAGTAATTGTTACGCCTTTTTAGGGGCGTGGCATATTAAAAAAAAATACCTTGTAATATTCACCTTTTTGGAGCGTAAGCATCCAAATTTTACAGTTAGGTTTCCGTTAGCTCTTTCTAACACTTGACCAAAAAGAGGATGTCTACGACCACTAGGGGCGTGGCAAATCGGGGAAAAGCTGCATTTTCTACAATACCCAAACTTCTAAATTGCTGATGGGATGTGAATGAGTACTCTGCAATTGGTAACGCCCGACTGTAACGTTGTTACTTGTTTTCTTTGTACACAGCGCAGCAACTCATATACTCGGCGAAGCAACTCATATATTCAATTACTTTTCGCTCAATAGAATAGTGTGCCTCTGAGTCATTTACGAGCGCACTTATTCAATCATACCATTTTCAATTTGACCTCGGTGCCACACATCTCAATATGCGAATTCTTAATTCGGATACGTTTTTGTGGCACTCATACAGCCCTGTGCGTATGTAGCAGGCAGCAGGCTGACCCATGAAGTATATGTACATACATACATGTATGTGCATATGTACATATTTATGCGTTTTTATTAGAGCGACGAGCTGAGTAAATATAGTCATATATGTATATCCGTCTGTCAGACTGTACATTTAAAGCCATTTTTTCCCACGAGCGAAATTCGTATTTGCTCGGCTCGGGCATTGAAAAGGTGGCTAAAGCAAAATCAATCTATTCTGAAATAGGTATGACTATATGTAATTATTTAGTGCGCTCCCTGTCAATATGTACGCAAAAGCAAGCATGAGCTCACTACATTGATAATTCTTTGCAACAATCCTAATTCTTCTGCAAATTTTGGACTCTATAGTTTGCACAGGCAGTAAGAGTTACGCACATACATGTAGCATAGGACTGCATACTCTCCCAAAAATTGATAATGATAATGATTTCGATAAGTTGTTTAATCGTTAACAAAAACACGGAGGTAGCTATTAATTTTGGAAACAAACTCGATATTCGCGTGATATACTTAGGACTAAGAAATAAATTTCAAATTTATAGCGCTCATATCTTCACAGATCGGCGATCATACGTTCGGACGGGGAATACAGGACTAAATCGACTCAGCTGTTCGCCCTGATCAAGAATTTATATGTACATATTATATGTACATAATATAAATATAAAATAATAAGTGTATCTCAATTGCAATCTGAGGTCCTACTTCTCCAACTTGTCTACAATCGTCTCAAGTGCATAAATTAAAAATTGTTTAAAATATATGTTCTAAGTAGATCCAACAAAAAATATTCTCGCATTAAATTAACATTAAACATTGTAGCACATTCGAAAATTCTCAAATTCTCAACTGTTATTATACGCTGAGCCTAATGAAAATACGAAATCAAGGTATAATGGTTTTGTGAAAAATATGTGAATTATGTGGCGGAAGGAAACATTGTACGTACGCCCATCTGTCCGTAAGCGCTCTGTTCTCTCAAATATGTATGTATGCATGTGAGTACAAGCAGCAGCTCACAAAAATGGAAATTTCTTCGCGATTCTCACAAATTATGGGATATCACTTGTAGAAGCATTTGTATGCCTATAAGCATGTGTGTATGCATGGGACATGAACATTGGCGTGTAACCACTAACCACAGAACACATAGACCGAACAAGTAGTGTAAAGCGTTTTGCCACCACTTCGTATTTGCTCGTCTCCTCACTTTTAGGTTCGGGCTACGAAAATATGGGAACCAGGGTGACCGAATATGGTATTTTTAATACTTTTATCAGCTCTGATTTTGCTCAAAAGTATTTTAATGGTATATAGGTATTTAGTAGTATTTTTCATCGATTTTATGGTATTATATGGTATTTTCGGTTTGGTCACACTTTAAGACTTAATGAATTGAATGCTTAATGCTTAAGACTTGCTTAATTTTAAAACAAATAAATAGAAAACATGAGCATATGCTTTTAAATTATATGTAAATAATAATAACTATTCTTTTTTCAGATTCAATCGTTTTTTTAAGAGTCGGACAACACTCTAGCCACCTCTATCAAAAAGGCAGAAATTATGTTTGCTGCAGCGATTGCTGAACACAACATATCTATGAGAGCAATGGACCATATTAGCGATGTGGTCAAACATGCGTTTCCCGATAGTGCCATTGCGCAAGGGTTTTGCTGCAAACGCACCAAAACAGCTTCGCTTACGTACAATGTACTGGCACCTGTGATGAAGGAGCAACTGATCTCTAGCATGAAACGGTGCGTTTCTGCAGCGGGAAGGCCTGTGTTCTCCATAATCATTGATGAATCGACTGATGTTTCGTGTACAAAGGTCTTGGCGTGTGCTGTTATGTATTTCGACAAGGAAGCGCAAACAAAATTCTTGTTCACCATTGACTTAGAGGGTGAAAAAGCAGTCGACCTTTTTGCAGCACTCAGCGATGGACTCAAACTTAATGGCTTTGACATCAATAATATGATTGGATTTGCTGCAGACACAACTAATGTGATGTATGGTGAGCGCAATAGCATTATGACGAAGATACGAGACGTCAACAAATCATGTTTTTTTGTAAAATGTGTTTGCCATTCGTCTGCTCTTGCTTCAAGCTATGCTTGCATGCAACTGCCTCGAGACTTAGAGCAAACCATTAAAGAGCTATATAACTACTTTTCAAAAAATTCCAAGCGTCGACGAAAATTTAAAGAGTTTCAAAATTTCTTAGATTCTCCTGCACACAATATACTTAACCACTACGAGATACGTTGGCTATCGTTTCATTCTTGTGTGGCACGCGTACTAGAACAGTGGGATGCCCTCATTGCATTCTTCCAAGAAGAATATGAAGTTGATAACAATTTATCAGCTGAGTATATTCTATCTAATTTAAAAAATCCAACTGTTAAACTTTATCTTTTATTTTTGGATTATATACTTGCTTTAGTGAATAAATTCAATATCATATTCCAGTCTAGTCGATCTGTTGTAC